TCTGCTGCTGGGGGGGGGAGACTGTTTATCGTCGAGTGAACAATGAGCATGCGCAGTTATTCTTGGGGAAACGTTCTAACTACGCATGCTTATGCAGCAGGTTCTCAGTCAGAAAGCGTAACGGTCGAACATACAAACAAGCAGAATAATAAGTATAGATTATTTCTGCCCTCTGTTACATGAACCAATAACAGCATCAAAATTCAGCTGTATAATGTCTTAAGAAAAATTACACAGGTAAAAATAAGTTTAATTTTTGGCTGTAGTCATAAACAGATATTTTATCACAGATAATAAATTTCTGATATTTTTTTATTTTTTTGGATTGAGACTTTTGCTTTATTTTCAGTGAAAAAACAAGCTGATCAAATCAATCTACAAAAACAGGAAGTGACAAATACTTTTGACAAACATGTTATGTCATCCACAGATGAAGATTCAGGTTCACCTAAGGTAATTTTTGGTTTTGTGTATTTGTTTGTACAGTTGTGGATCATAATGCTTGCAGTTAAATTAAGCTTATTTCAAAATGTGTGGTACTTGAAAAAATCATAGCTGCTGCATTAAATTATAACAACAATCAACATAAGTTGTGTAATTAATATATAGTTGTCATTTAAATAATTATGTGTGTGTGTGAAGTTTATTCAATGATACAAAATTGATGTATGAAGATTTTTATTGGTAAGTTATATAATGACATTATTAAGAATTATTTTAATTGGTGTTAAAATGCTTGGGTTGCAGCATGGTTTCATGTTCAACCTTTGCTACAAGAAAGATAGGAAGCTTAACAGAAACTGATATTCAGTAAAACTACAAATAACATATTTTAGGGGATTGTTTCCACTTGACAGTCCAGAGAGATGATTCGTAGTTTAGTATTACACTGAAAACGTCTTATTTTAGTTTAGCTTTGTAGTCAGTCTTACATAATTTTAATTTTTGATCCTAGAATTTTAAACATTTAATTTTTTTTTACATTAGTTTAATAACATGTCAGAAAAAGCTCATGAAATATACATAGTACATGAAGTAAAAATTCTGTGATGGCACTAGTGACTTTATTATAGATTTCAGAACAGCCGAAGATGGTGTTTCTCTGTGATATGCCATATTTGCAAAACAAGGTTACACTTTTTCATTTACTTTAGAGTTTATTTAATACCTTTTGAAATGATAAGATACTGACTAAGCAAGGTTTGATAAAATATTATCTTACTGCAAACATAGGATTAAGCTTTGTAATTTGTTTAAAACATCACTCAGAACTTTCATAATTATAACCAGTTTTAAAGAAAGAAGTGAATTTCTAATGTTTACTTACTAATTTTATAACTAATGCTAATATTGCATGTGGTCGGCTTTCACTCTGAGTAACTTGAATTCTGTGGGTTACGAACTTCCCACATTTTTACTTGGATACTAATGCTCTATTTCCATGATCAACCCAGCAAGTTCCTAAGACTTTATATTGAATTAAACACTCTTGTATATTTTGCTTATTTTTCTAAGGCTCACTTTTATCAGTTGTGCAAAAACTTGTGGACCAAGTGATGAAGTTTCTTATAAATTTCAGTTATATAAGTTTTTCCCCCATACTGCAATAGCCTGTCTGGATCTTTCTGCACAGCTGTATTGACGTCAATTGAATTATCATGTAAACATCATTCTTATATTTATAGTACTTGATGGTACTATGTGTCTGCTATCCTTTTTATCAAGATATAAATGTTTTTACTATTGTTTTTTGCAATTCTTAGTTGGAATACTGAAATTCATTCCAGTAACACATTAACGTTTCTGGTTTGGAAAAACATGCACAAATTGGATTTGTTAATTAGCAGTTAGCTGACTTTTTTGAAAGGAATATAGCATTTTTTTTGCAAGTTTGGTATTGTTTTTCTATTTAAAGCCAGGTTTGCACACCTTTAAGATAGGGATTTGCACAGGTTCAAGAGTTGTTGTAGCAGTTCCAGTGGTGTAATATAGTAAGATCCAGTATTAACTTTCATAATTTATGTCACTTAACCTGAGTGAGTTGACTAGTTTTTCATATTTTGTTTTTCAGCTTTACTTTTAACTTTTATTTATAGAAGGGCATTGTTTACCTAAAGTAAGTATTTTGCAGTATTTTGTTTAGGTTTTAATTTGCAGTTTGACTAGCATTGAACTGTAGTTTAAATTTTATTTTGGAGTTTGTTTAAACATTATTTTTGACTAATTTTAACCTTCAACGTCATGTTTAGGGTTTAGTTTAAGTTACAGGATGGACACACTAAGCAGATAATAGTTTGTAAATAAAGATGTCACATTACTCTTATCAGTTCAATGTACACCATTGAACACTTGCACTTCCTTGTTTTTGTGATTTATTGTGTTATTGTGATTGAGTTTGTGTGTGTGTGTGAAAATAAACATTTTGGAATTTGTGAAACCATCAGTGCTGAGTCTTTTTTTTATATGATCACATTTTTAGATTGGAAAGATCATTATACTCCTGTATTATACGAACATCCAGTTAGTGAGCGTAATTGACTGCTCTTCAGGAAAATGTTTTATCAGGAATACCACACATTTAATTGTTATACCCCTATGTACATCAAAATTCACATTTATGCTGTCAACACAGAATCTGGCTTTTCAACACCAGCTATAAATAAATGCTTTGTTATTAGTCTGAAATTACCATGTACTTCAAGTGTACAGTGCCTTTATTTATAGAACAGTCTGTCCTACCTTTCCTGTTAAGGAAATAAGTTATTATTTTGTGTTTGACAAGCTTGCATGCCCGACCCATACAAAAACTGACACCTTACCATGTACTTTAAGTATACAGTGCCTTTATTATTAGAACAGTCTGTCATAACAATTATTATTAAGGAAAATAAGTTATTATTTTGTGTTTGACAAGCTTGCTTTTCATGCAAATTTGAGCAGAGGATAAATTTAAGATGAACACTGTTTGTAATTGTTGAAACAACATTCAGGTTCAGTAGTTGTGTATTTTATTTGTTGCAGATCATTTGAATATATTGGACATGTTACTCATATTTTTATAATTTTAGAAGCAATTAAAAATCTTGTCTTTATTAACTGTTCTATCTTTTTGTACTACCTGGGAAATTTGCTGTTAATTAAGATCCTTTTTAAGGATCTTGTTTACAACAAAATGTCTTGTATGAGGTGCTCTGTGCAATTTGGAGTTTCATTTTTTCACATCTGTATATAACACTTAGTTGTCCAAATGTTCAACAAACTAAGCTCCATAACTGTCATAACTAGCACACTAGCTGCCTTTTAAACATAAACTCAAAATTCTTCTATTGCTTTTTTTTTTAATAAGACTAGAATTCATACAGGATATATCAGTATTTATATGTTATATTTTATTCTTGCAATTACATAAACGATAAATATTTTAAACCCCATACAAATTATATTTTAGTACTACTGTTTATTTCATATATGTTTTGATAACATAAAGAAAACATATCTTTCACTTCCAATACAATATGTAACCTCCATGTAGCTTCCCTGATTCAGTGCTGCCCACTATATGGAAACCTTTTTGCTCACCACTAGCCTTGAGACTCCCACATAAAATCATGTGTTTCCACATGATATTACAGCTCTGTTGCATACAAATAAGCATGCTACAACCCTCCATCAACAGGAGTGTGACACACACTCCTAGCACAGCTAACTCCCTCCATACTGATTGTTCAATCATCACTTCTCGCTTTGGCACTTATATGTAAAGACATGTTGTTGTTTTTTCACTTGGGAACTTTTGAGATATAGGCATTTTTTTAATGGAAGTATCTACAATAATATCAACTGTTGTGGAAATATTAAATATGAATTTTCATTTTCTAACATTTCTGCATCTGCAGAATTTGTAGCCTTTTATTTCCACATTAATTCATAAGTGAAGGTAACTTCCTCTTTGTCTGTTGAGAAAGTGACAGCTAGTTTGCAAATGGAGTCTCTCATGTGGCCTGGATGTTCTTCTGAAACTGGTATACGTCCTCCTATGTATCCCAATCAGGACATTAGGGATTTAGACAGTTTTTGCCTACTTACCTTTGCCGAATCTTCTATCCATGCTATTGTGGATCTACCTAGGATCTTTTCATAAGTTCAGTACATGGTTTTTCAGGAATATTTCCTTTTCTCTCTCTCTCTCTCTCCTGACTCTTATGATTCTTCTCCATCATTTTCTAATTTATATCCTGCTTCTGACTTTTATGTTTTGTCTCAACTTTGCTCTGGTGCATGCATTCCTTGTCGTCCTTGACTTGTTGCCACATATGCCTGAGCTTAACGTCAAGTTGTATTCCCTTTCTTTGACTCACAATCTCTGGAGTCTATTCTTCAGACATGGGGATCAGATCCTCTATCTTCTGTTCAACTTTCTCAGGTTCAATTATCCTGCCCTCATCTTTCACTCACTACCCTTTTATGCTATTTTTCCTTCATTCACCTTATTCCTAATGCAATCCATCTTTCCCAGAGGGTTTTTTAACAGATACTCATTAACTTATCTTCTCTACTTTGGTGCATTTATTTTCCTCAGCCTTGTCACTTCATAGTTGCTCTGTTGCTGGGACTTCTTGGGGGAAGGACCCCTTCTTGCTCAGATGCATTTGCATTCCTCTTATCTCAGAGACCTTCATCTGACTTCTTTCCTCTGCCAAGGAGCTTTTGATTAGTTCCTGACTTTCTGGAATCATGTTGAGGCAGCACATCAACATTCTTCCTTATCCTCACTGACTTCCCATCTCTTGCAAACTCCTTCTTTACCTATTTCTGCCTCTGTCCTCCCACTTTCTTTCCTCTCCCTGTTCCACCTTCTCACTCCTCTGCTCCCATCCATATTTGTATTGTTCATAGACTTCAGTGCTGTTAGTCTTAGCAGTGACTATCCTTTAGTTTCAGGGACAGTAGGGGCCCATTTAGCTCAGTTTGAAAATCTTTGGTATCCATTTGCAGCCAATCTTTGGGTACTTAAAGTTCTGTCAGAGGGCCTTACCATTTTTTTTTCCACTCCTCCTCCCTTGTTTCCTGTTCTTATTACTTTCCTTCCTCCAAGATATCCAGTTTCTCACAAGCATCTATCAGAGTCAGTGTTGGAACTATTGGCCAAAGATACTATTGAATGGGTTTCTCATCTTTCTCCAGGATTTTATTCCCATCTGTTTATCATACCCAAGAAGACCATGGATTGGCAACCAATCATTGATCTTTCACATCTCAATTTGTTTCATGGCTTACCTCGATTTACCATGGAACTTTTCTCAGCCTACAGTAGTCTTTTACTCCAAGACTTTGGTTGAACAAGGTGGATGCCTCAGATGCTTATTTTTGTATTCCCATTTTGGTTTGTATGCTGTCTGTTTATTTTTGAAATATATCACCAACAAATCACAGGCACTTACTGTAAAGAATCC